CCGCCCCTCCGCGCCCCACTCGGCCTTGCGCCCCAGGTAAGACCAGAACGTCGCCACTGTGGCCTTCGGTGGAGCTATCCATGTCGTCGGAGCCGAACGCGGGAAATGCCGAAGTGGGCGCGGGTGGAGCCGAGGCTTTCGGTGAAGCCACGAAACGTGTGAGGGGTGCGCCAAACTGGGGCGGGGCCGCCATGCGAGCCCTGCCACTGGGGCCTTCGGTCGAGCTCCCTATGGGGCGACGAGCCGTGTGGGAGGTGCGCCAAAATGTAGCGGGGCTTGGAGCTCCCTATGGGGCCACGAAGCGTGTGAAGGGTGCGCCACATTGGGGCGGGGATGCCATGCGGGCTGCGCCACTGGGACCTTAGTTGGAGCTCCCTATGGGGCCACGAAGCGTGTGATGGGTGCGCCGGAATGGGGCGGGGATGCCATGCGGGCTGTGCCACTGGGACCTTGGTTGGAACTCCTTCCCTATGGGGCCACGAAACGTGTGAGGGGTGCGCTGGAATGGGGCGGGGATGCCATGCGGGCTGCGCCACTGGGACATTAGTTGGAGCTCCCTATGGGGCCACGAAGCGTGTGTGGGGGGGTGCGCCGGAATGGAGCGGGGATGCCATGCGGGCTGCGCCACTGGGACATTAATTGGGGCTCCCTTTGGGGCCACGAAGCGTGTGAAGGGTGCGCCACATTGGGGCGGGGATGCCATGCGGGCTGCGCCACTGGGACATTAGTTGGGGCTCCCTGTGGGGCCACGAAGCGTGTGAGGGGTGCGCGCCACATTAGGGCGAGGCCGCCATGCGAGCCCTGCCACTGGGGCCTTCGGTCGAGCTCCCTATGAAAGCCGCGCAGAGCTGCGGGCGAACAAATATTGGGCAGCCTCCTCTCGCTGAGGCGCAGCCGCTCCTGGGCGATCGCCGGGGCCTGCGACGCGTGCAGCGCCGGGTGGCCGTGCTTTTTGCATCGTCGGACCGACAGTCGAGCATGCCACCTTCCCCGCTTGGCCACCTCCTTGAGCGACCGCCGATCGACGATCCTGTCGCGGCTCGCCCCTCCGTGTCGAAGACAATGCAGCGCGGCCCCCAGGTGCTGCAGCCCGAGCGCCGACAGCGCGCTCTCGAACTCTGCGTGCAGTCGTGCGTAATCGAAGCTCAAGAGTCGCTCGCGCGGCGCCAGCGCGGCCATCGGGCGGCGTGAGCCAGAGGAGCTCGGGGGCGTCCAGCGCCAGCGGGTCGCCCAGTTTCCCCGTCTTCCTGGGGATCGGAAGCTCCTCTGGATGCAGCAGCAGCGTCCACAGGCGGAAACCGCCTCCCAGGGCCAGCGCCAGCGGCGCCAGCTGGAAGGCTCGCGTGGCCAGCAGCTCGCCTGGGCGCAGGTAGCAGTGGAACACCAGGTTGGGCGCGCGCCATCGGTGCCTCGCCCTTCAGCAGCAGGATCCCGATGACCCCGCGCAGAACCAGCCAAGGCAGGGGCGGCCGAGACGGGCCTGGTCTCTTGCGCTTCCAGCCAAGCAGCGCCCTGCTGCTTCGCGGCAGGACCGTGCGCGGCGGGCGCGTCCGAGCGCGGGCCTCGCCCCCGGCAGAGCGGACAGCAGCTTCGAGGCGCTATTCGGCCTCGAACCCAGCGCAAACTCGTCGTCAGGTACTGGGGCAGCGCGTAGTCCCACTCCGCGGCCGACCAGCTCGGCAGCGTTTCCAGACTCAGCCAGGCACAAAGGCCATTCAGGCAGCGGGGTTAGGTCTGCTGCGTCGTGCGTCGTGGGCCTCACGGCCCCCAGCTGCAGGCCCGAAACACTCGAGCCCAGGAGGCGGTGCCAAGGCAGGGCTGCGGCCGTCGAGCCCGCAGAGGACCTTGCCCTCCTGGTGCTTGGAGGGCCCCAAGTCGGTTCAGAGAGGCCCCCAAGACGGATTCCGGCGGCGGCAGACGGGCCAGAACGCCCTAAGACGGTCAACGAGGCCCCGAACAAACCCACAAAGGCACCCAAGAGGCCCAAGGAGGCCCACAAGAGGCCTCCAAGAGGCCTCCAGGAAGCTCCCAGGAGACCCCAAGAGTGCCCCAAGAGACTTCCAAGAGGCGTCCTCCTCCTTCTCCCCCTCCTCCTCCTCCTCCTCCTCCTCCTTTTCCTCATCCTCCTACTCCCGTTTCCCTCTTCTCCTCATTCTCCTCTTCCTCACGCGTTCCCCGGAAGGCTTCACCGACGGCTGGGGGAACACACGGTCCGATAGCTCTAGCCCAACTTTCGGCCACATAGGCGCTTCCAAGAAGGCAGGGGGCGGCGGTGATTCGCTGTGGGCATCTTCGATCCGCCGCCCACTGTGCCAACAGGGTGTGCATGGCGTGCTGAGGTTCTGATGGTGCTTGAATATTTTAGAAGTCCTCCTGGGGCTTCGGCCCAGCGCACCGGCCACCTGGAAGGCCGCGTGAGCTGCCGAACGATTTGCCCAATCGCTTCCAAGACGGCCAAGACGGCCTCCAAGTTAGGCCAAGACGAACCAATATGGCTTCCAAGACGGCCCAAGAGTGTCCAAGATGCCTTCAAGTCCGCTCGAGAAGCCACCAAGACGGCCTGTGATGGGCCCAATATGGCCTAAGACGGCCCAGAAGGCCCCCAAGAGGCCTCAAAGGCGGCCCAAGAGGGCTCCAACAGGGCCTCCAGGAAGGCCCGAAGAGCCGATCACATCATGTTCGTTGCATTGAGAAGGATTTTGGGTTTGCTTCATTTCGGCCTTCCGACGGCTCGAGACGGCCCGCGAGCCGCCCAAGATCTCCCCAAGATCGCCCAAGAGGCTCCAAGATCGCCCCAGAACGCCAAGACGGCCCCAAGAGGGCCCCAAGCCAGCCCGAGAGGCCTCCAAGACGCCCACGATAGCCTCCAAGAAAGCCCTGGAGTGCCCCAAGAGGGCTCGCTCCAAGTCGGTTCAGAGAGGCCACCAAGACGACCTCCGACTGCGTCAGACGGGCCAGGAGCGCCCTAAGACGGTCAAAGAGGCCCCCGAGAAGGCCCTAAAGGCCCCCAAGAGGCCCAAGGAGGCCCACAAAGGCCTCCACGAGGCCCTCAGAAGTTCCCATGAGCCGCCAAGAGTGCCTCCAGAGGCTCCAAATATGTCCCCTCCTCCTCCTCCTTTTCCTCCTCCTGATCTTCCCCGGTATCCTCCCCCAAATGTTCCCGGAAGGGTTTCCACACCGGCTGGAGAAACACATGGTCCGATGGCTTGGCAGAGCTTTGGCCACAACGTTCGGCCACAGGGGCGATTCCGAAAGACAGGGGGCGGCGGTGACTCGCCGTAGGCGTCTCCGATAGATACACCCGTATGCCGATTTCCAGGTACATAAATGAGCACGCGCGCCCGTACATAAGATGTACACGAACGCATCACGTAAGCACCTGGACGCGTACACACCTGTAGTATATGCATGCGCTAGTCACATTAGCCCTCTGGGCGAGGGTGGTATTACTATCAGTTGCCTCCCTCTTCCAGAGGCCAATCTTCCTCAATTCGGTGAGGGGCTGACCGTGGCAGGGAGTGAGAGAATATATAGAGAGAGGAAGAAACAGAGAGCGAGAGACAAGAGAAAGAGAGAGAGAGAGAGACAGAGGAAGAGAGAGAGAGAGAGAGCGACAGGAAAGGATGAGGTTGAGGATGACGAATGGGGGTCAATTTCTTTTGGTGTCTACGCCGCTACCACCCTGGCGCTGAAGTGCATCCACAACTGCATTGATGGAAGATTCAGCTAGGCGAGCGACCAGTCTAATACTGGATGATCTCGTGAGGTTGCCAGTGACAAAACCTCGCTGTGGTCTTCATGGGACGCGGATACCTTCCAACACGAAAGGCTTTCCAGCCCGTCTGTGGATCACAGCTGGCCCGGCCCGATCGAATGATAGGGAGACGGATGATGATGATGCTGATGATGATGATGATGCTGATGATGATGATGATGCTGATGATGGTGACGATGCTGCGGAAGATGATAAGAAGGAGGAGGAGGAGGCAGAAGAGGAGGAAGGATGAGGAGCAGGCACACAAGGAGGAGGGAGCAGGACCAGCGGAGACAGGTGGGCTGATGTCGGGGTGGGCGAGAGGACGGAGAAGGGAGGTATGGAGAGAACACGAGGAGGATGAGCAGATACGGAGGAGGGCGGAGGGAGGAATGAGAAAAGTGTGTGCGTGTGTGCGTGCGCGAGTGGTGTGTGTGTGGGGGTCAGGGAGGGGGGCGGGGGCGAGAATAGAGAAAGGAGTGCGCACACAAGAGGAAAAATGAAGGAAGAGGAAGGCAGGCGTAGGCGAAGGAGGGGAAGGAGAAGGGAGGTGGAAGACGCGGAGTATGTAGAGGAGGATGATAAGCGCCAGCCTGAGAGCAACGTAACTACGTCTTGCAATTCTGCAAGTGCTCTGGCTCCACCAGACAGCATCCTTCCTCTTCATGCTTCCCACCCACCCTCTCATTTCAATATTGACGCATCAATGCCTCGGTAGAACAGTTCGCTACCCACCACAACTAACAAGTGCACATGGGAGCAAAAACAACGTTGTCCTGTTTACTACTTAGCAGACCGGCTGCACTGATGCGAGTCCATCTCGTTCCACCTCCTCCTCCTCCTCCTCCCTGTCCCTTCCCCCTCCTCCTGTCCTCTCCCATCCACCTCCTTTTCCCCAAGCTTCCCCCCTCCCATGATCCTCGCCCCGAGCATATCCTCATCCCCATTCCTTCTCCCTCCCCTCCCCCTCCCCCCCGCGAGGCCCTCTCCATCGCCACCGCGCAGGCGTCGCAAGCGCTACGCCAGGCCATTGGCCTCAAGGCCAGCAGAGAGACCTCGAGGATGACGAGAAGGAGGAGGGGGCGTTTCATACTAAAAGGCAGCGGCAGGGCAGCGAGACTGCCCAGCCAGCAGCAATAATAAAAAACAGCGCTACACAAGTTGTTCACCGTCGGTCCAGAGGCCACAGAGAGCGGCCTGAATGTCTGCAATGATGGGGGCGCTCGAGGCCGATCACCTCCACCTGCTAGACAGAAAACAGCCAATCCCCGACCAACCGCGTTGCCCAGGGCACTGCGTACTCCGAGCCCCAATCGCGCTCGAACGCCGCGGTCAGCTGCGCGCGCAGCAGGGGATGGTCCGAGTTGAAGGACAAGCCTGCCGTCTTGTAGAAATACCCCCACTCCATGTTGGAAGTGCCGATGTTGAAACGGCGGTCGGTGACGATGTACTTGCCATGGTTCACCCGGGAATAATCGACGTACCTCTTCTTGACCATCATCCCTTGTCCCCTCCTCCTCCACCTCTTCATCCTCCTCCCTCTCCTCCTCCTCCTCCTCCTCCTCCTCCTCCTCCTCCTCCTCCTCCTCCTCCGTCGCCCGCTCATCCGAACATGACACTATGAGTAATCACCTCCCTCCCGATCCTGTATTGTGCAGGGGCACTTCTCTCCCACACATGTTGTTTCTTGCCAACACAAAAATCCAAGCATTGATGTCCCGTATGTGTTGTTCAATCGGACTGCTTTCGTGCCTTCCAGCACTGTGCTCGCTGCGGCGCTGGCCGCGTTTCAAGATCGGTTCTTTGCTGCTGTATTTCAAACTTTGGTGTTCGTCCTGGCGCGGGCCACTCCTCTGGCTCCGATCATTTTCCCGCATTTCCCTTGTCCTCCCGATCCTTCTGCCCCTCATGCTGCTGTTTACCCCCCTTTCCTCATCATCCTGCTTCTCCTCCTGCTCATCCACCACCCCCTCCCCCTCATCCAATGTACAAAATCCAATTTTGTCTTGCGCATCACGCATCCAATGTACAAAATCCAATACAATGGGATCACTTTGGGGATCAAGACATCCAGGACATTCAGAGCCGGCGGGTAGGGCGGGCGAGAAGAGTAGGAAGTCAGGAATGGCGGGAGCTCATCTAGCTTGTCCTCTTCCCCTCCCTCCTACGCCTCCTCGTCCTGTTTCCAAACATCCGCCTCCCTGCACCGTCTTCCTGCTCCACCCTCCTCCTCCTCCTCCTCCTCCTCCTCCTCCTCCTCCTCCCCCTGCTCCTGCTCCCCTCCTCCTTCTCTTCCTCCTTCTCTTCCTCCTCCTCCTCATCCTCCTTCTCCTTGACATCACCATCACCATCTGTCTCCTCCTTTTCCTGCAGCTGCTGCTCCTCCTCCTCCCATCCCTCTACCATCCACCCCCTCCTCCTTCTCCTCCTCCTCCTCCAATTCCTTCTCCTCCTCCTCCTCTTCCGGTTTATGGTGTTCCTCCTCATCCTCTCCCTTCTCCCCTTCCCCCTCCTCCCCCCCACACCTTGCTCGCACCACCCAACGCGCAGGGAAAGCTACTCCGCGGGCTCCCGGAGCCAAGACAACACGCACCAACGTACACAACCCGTGTTCCACCGTGGCAACGTCAACGGGGCGGGCCCATCCAAAAAGAATTAACGTTTGAAACAGGATGGTTCTCCGCGCGAATACTACAACGGAGCCTTGCGCATTGCACTCCCAATGGGGCCTACATGAAACGACGCCACAGGAGAGGATTTTGTTTTTGTCTTTCAGCTGACTGGCTGGGGACCTGTTTAAATTGCCCTCTGCCTTGAACGGGTCTTGAGTCTCCCGCAATCGTTTCGCCGTTACCCCTCATCAGCTAGTTTTATATCTGCCTCTTCCACTTTCGGGCTTACGTATTCGCTTACGCCATTGGTTGCAGACAGACTTCATTGGGTTTTGTAGTGTGGCATTTTCCGAGATGCCGGTCCACTGTTGTCTGGACTCTAGTGTCTCCGACCTCTGCTAGTGAGTTGAACTTGCTTTCTCGGCCAAGCGTGCCGGGTTCACTGTATAGCCAGTTCGTCGCGCTCGTTCACGTTCCGCTCGCGGTTCAATGGGGCCATTCTAGCCCCCATGAGGGGAGCCGGATTTAAATTGGAATCGGAGTTGGGGCTTATCTTGGTGGGTGTTTGCGGTAAAAAATGACAGGACAGGGAATTGCAGGGAAACGCAGGAGGACGACAGCGAGGACGAGGAGGACGACATATACTTACGCAGGACCAAAAATTGTCCTCTTGAGGTGAAAGTTTGCGATGATGAGTTCGACAGATAACATCGGCGCCGCCAAACGGACGGCGTCTGGACAAACTGCGTGCAGCAACAGAAAGAAGAGAGATGCACTCATGTTGAGTGTGGCCCCCGTGCGCGGAAAGTTGATGAGAGTGCATCAGACAGCGCAAGACCAATCCTGGGAAATTGATGACCGAACCTCTTTCCCCCATAGAATCTTAACGCGGGCGGTTCCGGGGTCCGCGGATCCGATTTCCGGTTCCCCGCTTCTAGTTAATAATAACATTTCAGACGGGGTAGACATCGGATCCGCCGTAAAAAAAACAAGACCGAACGCGGATCCATCAATTCCGAAAGCGGACCCGCGCGGACGGAAATCGGATCCACCGAAACAAAAACCAATACCACAATTCGATCCGCACGAACTTCATGGCATCCGACGGCGGTTATCTCATATGCGTCTGATCAAGACTTCAAACCGTCGTGCCGGGCCCAAGAAGAACACGCTATCGTCCTGGGCATGTATGGGACAAAGATTTTGCGCATGACGGGCGTGATCGCTTGTGCATGGACGAACGTCGCCGCAGCGAGGAGACACGGGACGGCGTTGAGGGCGAGACAAGAGCGCCGCCGATCCTGGGTCGAGGCTTGCGTGAGGCTAACACCGTGGCTTCAACCTGCGCCGCCGAGAGCGGGCATTGGGAAATCGCAGCCGAACGCGCGCGCCCTAGCGTTGAACGTTAAGTCGGGCCTGTCCCCCTACAGGGGTATTTTCGAGGAAACATTAAAAATAGTCTAACATACCCAAACATGATCAAACAAATGCTGAAAAAATCGTCCCTGGACTATTTTTTTACTATTGTTGAAGATTCCTCCTGTAGAGGGACAGGCCCGGCTTAACTCTAGCGCTAGCGTGCACGGGTAGGAAGGCGCAGGCACGCAGGCTGGCGAACCAAGAAGACCAGGCACGACGTCGTGGCCACGGGAAGCATGCCGACACGTGCACCGAGAGCCCGTCCATCTCGTCGGCGTCCGCGTGTATCGGGCCGGGAGAAAGGGAGGGATAGCAAAGGGGGGGTTTGAGAATCAGCTCACGTAGCTGATTTTCCCGGCGCCTCCCGGCGCCGGAGGCGGCTATGTATCGAGGATTGGGCCCCTCGGTGGGGCCGAAACCAGCTGCATGCAGCAGATTTCGTACCCCCCCTTTCCCAATCCCCCCCTTTCGTCCGGCCCGAGTGTAGCCAGCGTCGACGACGATCTTGCGGCGACGAGCCTGCTGGACCCGACGATGCCTTCACGAGTGGCGACGAGTGGCGACAAGTGCGCCGATGGCAGCGCCGAGGGAGGTCGAGGTCTGGTTTGGGCTCCCATGTGACCGCACTCCCGTGACGACCACGCCACAAGCGGACGAAAGCGGCGACGGCAACGCAGCTGGAGCCGCCAAGCGAGGCGAGGTCTCGTTTGTGTCTCCGTGTGGCCGCGCCCTGCCGGACCCACCACGGGCTCACGAACGTGGCGATACTTGCGCAGTTTGAATCACCCATGGAGAAGACGAGGTCTCGTTTGGGTCCTCGTGTGGCCGCTCTCCCCTCGAGCACCCCAACAAGCGGACGAAAGCGGCGACAGCTGCGCAGCTGGATCCCCTCAGGGAGACAAGGTCTCATTTGGGTTTGTGCGTGGCCGCACGCCGCTGGATACCCCACAGGCTCTAGAAAGCGGTGGCTGTTGCTCCATTGGCACCACATACAGAGACAAGGTCTATTTTGGGCCCGCATATGGCCGCGCTTCGCTGGAACCCCCATGATCTCACGAAAGTGGCGACACTTGCGCAGTCGGCACCGCCTACGGAAGCAAGGTCTCGTTTGAGTCACCGTACGCCGCGCTCCCCTCGACCTCCCATGAGCTCACAATACACACTTCGCTCGCAGAAGCAACCCGTTCGAGAGGGGGAGAAACACGCAAGGCCCATGCCAATCGCGCGCCGCGGCAATGCAAGGCAGGAGGGAAGGCTAGAAACCGCGCGCTGTACGTGTTGAGTGTGAGAAGCGAGGTCCAAACGGGCGGGTCGGGCGGGCGGACTGGAACGGGCGGGTCGGGCTCTGCTTGCGGGTTGGACGGTATAGAGCGGGCGGGCTTTCAAGCAAGCGAACGAGCGTACCTTGTCGGGCGGGCGGGGTCTGAACGGCTGGCTTCCAAGCGAGGGATCAGCTGGCCGAGCCCTACCATGGCGGGTCGGGTCGGGCGCCGGCCAGGTGAGCGGACCCCAACGGGCTGGAGGGCTTCCCCATCCCCCACTCCACATCGCCCCACCCCCGCACCGAGGGGGAGGCCGGCTCCCCCCCTCCTCCCCGCTCGGCATTCGGGGATCTTCTGACCGGGATCAATCCAGACCCGGGTCAGTCGGGCCTTGCAGAGTCCTGCAAGATCCTGCAAGATCCTGCTCCCAAACCCGGGTCAGTGCGAAGTATCCTGCAGGATCCTACAAGATCCTGCGCCCAAACCCGGGTCAATGCGACCCTGGCCCTGCAGGATCCTGCAAGATCGGGGCGCTCTGGCTGACCCCCGTTTGCATTGACCCCCGTCTCAAGGCTCCCGAGGCACGAAGGAGGCGGCTCCAGGGGGAGACGGGCCCTGGACCCCGTGGCCTTCCCCCAGCATCAGCTCTTCAGCCTGAGCCGATTTCTCACCACAGGATTAAGTCGGGCCTGTCCCCCAACAGGGGGATTTCGAGGACAAAATTGTCAAAGATACTTACAAAATCTTCCCCAGACTATTTTTCGACTATTTTTGAATATTCCTCCTGTAGAGGGACTGGCCCGACTTCAGCACAGGAGGTGGCTCTGTCGGAGCACCTCGCCGAGAGCGGTTCGGGTTCCGGCGCGCCGGCCAGCAAGGCGTGGTTCACTCGGAGTCTCGGAATGAAGGCGGCCTGCGCCCGAAAAGCCGTGGACATGAGGCGGCCTGCGCTCCGAGGTCGTGCGCGCTCGGGACTGCAAACTCAGCGAGACGCCGTGGGCGAGCACCAGAAGCATCGGGAGCGGCCAAGGAGGGGGGTGTCCAAGAGGGGGGGCGGTGCAAATCATGACTGGCGGCACGTGCGCGGCCCAGCGGGGGGCCAGGGACGTGATGAAATAAGAAGAGGCGCCATGAAATCTGGGGAAGTGTCATGGCCCCCGCCATGATATCCACCCCCCCTTGTCATCACTCCCCTCTTTGCCGCCCCCGAAAGAACGGGGGCCGCGTCGACGGGACGGCAACGCGTGGTAGCAAAAACCCTTCGCACGCCGCGCGGCCGCCTGCGTGCCGCGCTGGGTGGCGAGGCGAGCCCGCGGCGTGCGGCCGCGCCCTGCGGTTCCGACGGCGCCCGTGGGAGGCCCCGAGTGCCCCCGAGTGGCCAAAGATGGGACGCACAGAGACATACTAATACCATATGTCCGCTTTGGAGGCGCGCGCGTCCGACCCGAACATATAGTATACCCATCTTGTAGTATATCGTTTCCCGACCGGTGTGGCCAGAAAGCGCCCGCCACGACGCATTATACCATAAGATTTCTTGGTGCGCGCGTCGCCCCCCGGTGGGCGACGCACACATCGGATAAACATGTTGGGGTGACGCCGATTCATGGCGGCCTGTGCTGGGTGGGCCCGCCACGCGACCAAACGCGCCCTTCCGGACATCTCCAGGGCTAGCTCTGCATGAGAGCGGTGACTGCAGCGCAGCTGGCCAGCACCCTCTGGAGCCCATGACGGCTGGCGACGGCGGCGCAGGTTGGCAGCACCCAGGGAGAACGAGTTCGCAGCCTCCCGGGATGCGAGCTAGGGGGGCAGGGGAGGGCGCTCGTAGCATCCCAGGCCTCCCTGTTTCGGGGGCTCGCCGCCCAGATCGGGCAGCAAGTCTTTCTCCACGGCAGCTCATCAAACATTGCATGCTTGAGGTGAGCCAGCAAGACGGCAATGCCACGTACAGGGTAATTACGCCTGGTACGATGTATAACTCCTCCCTGCCGCACGAACTCCTACATCCGTGCAACCAGCAGCAGCTAACCGACTCATGCTTTCACAGCACGCCGCTGCGCGGGGCAAGCTCCGCCCCGGAAGAAGTAGTAGCCGGCAGAGGTTCACAAGCGATAGTGCGGATCACAGAGGGGTGCGGGAGGGGTGGGGGGTGGGGGGGCGGCGAGGAACAGCAGCGCTCTCTTTCAGGACGAGGGCCCATCGTGGGGACCCACGGCAAAACTCCGAGGGTGGGGTTCCGCCGCACAAGTGCACGCCCCCGCCCGCACGCAGACCGAGCACGCGGAGGGCACGGGGGGAGGATGGTCGGGTCCGATCGCAGACGCCGGGAGCGCAGCTGCGGCTCCCGGTCAGGCGCCTGCGGGAGCAGGCGCACAGAACGGTCATCCCCGCGACGGCTCGAAGCCTCCGCTTGGACATCTGGTGATTGGGGAACGGGACCCGCGCAGGCGGGAGGGGGGAGTCGGGAGAGGGAGGCGGAGGGTGAGGGAAGGCGGATTATGGAGGGAAGCAGGAGGATGGATGATGCGGGAGGGGGGGAAAATGCAAAGGGGGCGGAGCAGCGGAAGATGATGTGGGAGGACGAGGAGGAGGACAAGAAAGGAGAGAGGGATAATAGAAAAGAGAAGACAAGTAGACTGAGCGGGGCAAAACGAATGAGGACGGAAACGGGAATGAAGGCAGAAGAGTGGGGACGACGAAAGATGGGGGAAACAGAGGAGCGGGAGGGCGGTGGAGGAACCGTACTACGTGTACGGAGACGATCCACATGTGGAGGACGACGAGGAGGATGAGGGACAAGGGAGAGGCGGGATGACAGAAAAAGGTGGATAATGAGTGGATGATGGGGAGGACGACCATGGGACGACGGACGAGAGAGGATGGTGGCGGAGGAGAGCGAGAATGAAACGGAGGATGAGTACGAGGAGAATGATGGAATGGACGGGAAGGAGGAGGAGAATGAGGATGAGGAAGATGAGCAGGAGGAGAGGAATGCGCGGGCGAACACCTCTATCGCGCAGGCATTCTCCCAGGGCACGGATCCTCGTCCTTGCCCGTGGCGCCCTGCCACCCAGGTACCTCGAAGAAGCGGATCTCGAGAGAACCACCAGGGTTTGATAGTTGTGCCTTGCTCGCGACGGCCTTGGACGAGGAGGGGAGAGTAAAAGGGAAACGAGGAAGAAGAGGCGGAGGAGCAGGAAAAGGAAGAAGCACGAATGAATGCGCTTCATGGTCCCGTTTTTTCTCAGCTGGCGACTCGCGCGCCAAAGCGTGCACCACAGCACCGAGGGGACGGAGGAGGACGAGGCAGAGGAGGAAGCGGAGGAGAAGGCCACGAGGGGAGGTCAGAGGTAGGAGGCAGGACGTCGGCCCCGCGGCGATGCACGAGGAGTGACGCGCGAGCCCGGAGGGAAGTGGGGGAACATGGGGGGGTGAAGGGGCCCCGTGACACACAAAGAAATACACACCAGGATTGCCCAGATGTCCCCATACTTTCGGGGCTTTTGTCCTCCCCTTGAGTTCCGAGATTCTTCCCTGTTTTCCTGGGAGGCGACGAGGAGTCATTGTGCCTGTGTGTTTTTTTCCCTCCCGAGGGGGGGGCGGAGGAAGCCTTGAGGGAGGAGGGCGGTAGGGTGTCGGACGAGGTGGAGGCGTAGGGAGGAGGAGGAGGAGGAGGAGGAGGAGGAGGAGGAGGAGGAGGAGGAGGAGGAGGAGGCGGAGGAGGAGGAGGAGGAGGGAGGAGGAGGAGGAGGAGGAGGAGGAGGAGGAGGAGGAAGGAGGAGGAGGAGGAGGAGGGAGGAGGAGGAGGGAGGAGGGAGGAGGAGGAGGAGGAGGAGGAGGAGGAGGAGGAGGAGGAGGAGGAGGAGGAGGAGGAGGAGGAGGAGGAGGGAGGAGGGAGGAGGAGGAGGAGGAGGCACCGCGCTCCGCGTGCCCTGGCTCCCCCTCTGCGACCAGGCCGCCGGGGCCCGCGCGGGGGGAGGCCTCGGCAATGCGCACTCGGCGCCGCTCCCACGCGCTTCGGGGGGGGGGGGCGGAGCCCGCGCGCTTGCGGGCGCACCGACGTTCTCGCGCTTTCCACTGGGAGCTCGAGCTCTCTGCGCGAGGATCCGCGCGCGGGCGCCGGCATTCGTGGTAGAACGACGCGAAGATCGGGACGGACTCGGATCGGGGCAACTCGAAGCCTCTGAGAATCGGTGGGTTTGGAGGATGCACTGGGCGCCGCGGCCGCTCCAGAGCGTTCCGGAACGCTCCGAGAGCGCTCCGGAACGCTCTGGATCGATGTATCCCGATCCTGGCCCTGTTTTGCGTAGGCCTCCCCATTCTCGCCGAATGCGGGCCGCATTCCCTCCGGCCAACTCTTCACTCACGGCCCGACCCGAGGAGGAGGAGGAGGAGGAGGAGGAGGAGGAGGAGGAGGAGGAGGAGGAGAAGGAGGAGGAGGAGGAGGAGGAGCTGATTTCGAGGAGGTTTCCGACGTCGTCGGGAACCTCGGACGTCTGGGCCCCGCGGCCAAAGGCTGGAGGTGCTGGTGCTTCACGGCGGGGATGTGTCGGCCCCGTGCCCCCTCCCCGTCACCTCGAGAACGCACGCGGCGCGTGAGTAATGGGACCCCCGCCCCGCAAGCCGCAGCCAGCCAAGCGAGGGTAAGCATGGTCTCGTGAGCTCGTCCTTTCGTGAGCCAATGCGTAGACTTATGTCGGGCGTGTCCCCCTACAGGGGGATTTTGGGCGAAAAATAAAGTATATTTAAAACATGCCCCAATTTTTCAAAACAAAAAAATGCTCAAATAATAATCCCCAGACTATTTTTGACTATTTTTTAATACTCCTCCTGTAGAGGGACAGGCCCGACTTAAGCGTAGAAGTCAGCTCCGTTCTCTTCGCTCTGGCCCGCGCTCGGCCTCGAGTCTCCGCCTCTCCCCTTTGTTGGCTCGCCGTCGGCAGCATGTCCTGAGTTTGCATCCGCGCCCGCCGCCTGTCCTCATGCGAACTTTGAAGGGGCCCCAGGACACACAAATAAATACACACAAGTAAAATCATTCCCCATATTTTCCAATATTTTTTGGGGTTTTGTCTTCCCCCCCCACTTCCCATATTTTCCAATATTTTCGGGGGAATCGACGATTAATTGTGTCTGTGTGTTTTTTCCCCTCCTGAAGCTTCTCGCTTCGGCATTCGCACCCATCTATGACATTGCTGTCGCCATCTCCTCGGTAAGGTCACCCGCCTTCTTCGGACTCTCCTCTACCCTCTGCTTCGGCGCCGCTCTTCGTCTGCAGTGGCCACGCATGGCCCGCGCCGTCATCGACAGGAACCAGTCGGCCTTCCTCCAGAACTGCATCTAGGCTTTGTAAGTCCCCACTTGCACTAAACTCTTGTATGCGTCCACGCATCCAAGGGCCACTGCGCAACATCGCCAAATCACGAACACAAACGTGTAGGAATATAGAGCTCCCGCCTGACGAAGGCACATTCCGCAATGGGGTGCAAACGAACCTGTGACAATCTGACACCCCCCTGAAGGCGATTCGCTATTCCACATCGTGTTTCCATCAGGTGTTCCACGCAGCACATTACCCGCCGAGCACATGTGGCGCCAACGGATCAGGGAAGCTCGGACAGCCTCGATGGCGTGGGCGTGCGGCGGAGCCGTGGGGGGACGCGGATGGCGGAGCGGCGTGAGGAGGGCAGGGAAACGAGATGGGCCAAGCTGCCGCAGCGGCCTGATATCGAACTCCCACAGCCTCCTTATCGACAGCCTGCCCCGATCTGCGCGCATCCCCACTCAGACAGTAGTTGCCCCCTCCAGTCGGTCTTGTTTTGTATCAGAACGGCTGCCGCGGGCACGACGCACGATGGCGCGCGTCAGGCGACTGCGAGGGTGGGCCGACGAGAGGCCGCTCGCCCGGCCGAGAACATCAGTCACGTTCTGGAAAACATCAGTCACGTTTCCGCTCGCTCCGAAAAGGCGGGCCGCCCTGGATGGGGCCACGCTCAGCGCTGCATTGCTCTGCGTGTGGAGATGGTTCATGGACAAGAAAAGGGTCGGCGGACGGGGAACGAGCGGTGCCGAAAAGGCGATTGCAGACGCCGAGTGCGAGATAACGCACCAACGTGCACGCATCCCCGCTCAGGAAGTGCCCCCCCGGTCAGTCTTGTCTTTATCAGAACGACTGCCGCGGGCGCGATGGCGCTCGTCACGTGCTGGAGGGGGCAGGCCGAAGAGACGCCGCCCATCCGGAAGCCCCGAAAACATCAGTCGCGGTTTCGCTAGCCACGACTCGCAAGCACTTCGTGGCGCGCGACCTTGTCGAGCGCGGCCAGCTGTCTACTAGGCAGTTCGTTTAGGGGTTTTGTGTGCGAGCAGCATGGGCCAGCGGCGTTGTCTGGATGTTGCGAAGCAGGGCGGTCGGATTCATTAGGATTCGGCAACTCTCCGCGCGCGTCCTTCTGCGGCGGCTTTGAATGTCGGGAATGCCCGCGCCGTTCTGGAACGCGTCATAGACGGCCTGCCGCGGCGCATCCCGTGCGGCACCACCTCGTGTCCCACGGCGTCGGAGGCTGCGATGAGGCCTTCTCGGCGGCGGCCAAGGTGAGCCCTCTGAAGATTGGCTGGTTGGGCTCGGTCCGCTCGAAGGCCAGCTTCAACAAGGGCTCGAGCCAGCCCCAACCCTGCCAGGTCGCCGCCGCGCCAGCGTCGAACTGCCCGTTTTTGGCTGGCCTGTCACGGGTCAAAGGTGCGACGGTGCGCCCCGCTTGTCCACGGGTGCCCCGTGCGCCAGGGGACAGATGTCCACCTTGAGGAGCTCGAGAGCCTCCGGCGGCCGGAGGCAACAGTCCCGGGCCAGAGGCGCGAAGGGCGCGACGAAGTCGCCCGAAGGGTCGCCTTCGCCGGGGCCGAGCACGAGGGCGATGTGATGGGCGGGTCGAGCGTCCAGGCGACCCCGTAGAGCGCGGGCGGGCCGCGCCAACGCGGCCGCCCCGTCCAGAAATAAGTACTCCATGTATCCATGTACTCGGCGAGCAAGCTTGTCCCGCTGAACCAAATCGCCGACTGCTGGGGCCGCCCGCGTGAACCGCGCCGCGGCTGAGTGGCAGCCCCGGTAGCGCCGCTGCGCGGCGGACACCCCTGCCAGGCGACGAAAGAAACCTGCCCCTTCATCGCGTGATGGCGACGCCGCGCTGCCCCGCGGCGCGAAGTTCGGCGGCCGCCAGGCCCCTGGCGGTCAGCGAGGACCTCCAGCTCCCACTTGAACGGCTCCCCGCCCCCCCAGTCCGCCTGACCTTTCGGCCGAAGGAGGCTGCCAGCTGCCGCCCCCGCAACTGCCCCAGGCGAAGCCCCCCCTCCTTCAGCCGGGCTGCTGGCGGGGCGGCGCCCCGCGGCGTCCCTGCCAGACGGCGGCAATGGCGCGGAGGGTGGGCCGCCGCGGAGGAGGTCCTCCACCGCCAGCGCGGGGGCGCTGTTGCTACGCCTGGGAGGTGGGCCGAGACCTGCAGAACCACGTGCCGAGGATGTCCAGGGCAGGTGGCTTCCATGCGCTCGAGCCACTGAAGGTTGCCGACGAGTAAGGTGGGTTTCGTCCCAGGCCGCACCGTAATTAGGGGCACGCGTTCACCGCCACGCGCACGGCGCCACCGCTAAGCAGCTGCTCCAGCGGCGGCCAGGCCCAGAGTCGGCTCGACCGCGGGGAACTGCACGCCCGCGCCCAGGCAGGCCCGCGCCACGCGGCAGGTGGAGGTGGCGCAGTCGAAGCCCGCGGCAAGCGCGGGCGAGTCGGGCCCCCCGCCGGCCCGTCGGGCAGCGCTCCACCGCGTGCACGGGGTGCCGAGCACAACCGCCCAAATCCAGCCGGCCAGCATCCACCGCGCGAGCGCCCGGCGCGTCAGCGGCGAGGCGGCAGCATCCAGCGGAGAGCTCCAGAAAGCTGACCTTGCCCAGCTGCCCCAGCTACCCCAGCCGGCGGTGCCGGAGGTGGCGGGCGGACCGGGCTTCGACGCTAGGCGGCCTGACGCCGGCAAGCTCCAGCTTCTCAGCGGGCGACCCAGCGGCGGCTCGAGCCTGCGTCGCCCCAGGCTTTGGCGGGCGCCCAAAGGGCTCAAGGCGCGCAACGCCTCCTTCTCCGACCTGGTGCGGCTCCGAGGCCGCGGGGCCGGAGTCGCTGCCCTCCTCGGCGGGTCGCCATTGACGAGCGGCGGCGCCCGAGCCGTTGGGCGCCTCCGCGGCAGGGTCTACCTCCTGCGTGGGCTGGCCGCCCCCGCCAACAAACTCTGGCCTCTAGGGCCGGGCGCCCAGCGTCGCGAAGCTCGGCAGCCTGGCGCTGAACACTCTGACCAATTGCTCGCCAGCGCAGCCTTGCGGCGAAGCCCGACGGGGTGCGGTCCGCGCGGGTGTGCCTCCAGGCCCCCCGCGCATTGGCCGCCGCTTGCCAAGCTGTTTCTCGCCTGGGCAGGGCAAGCAGCTCCCGAGCCCGAGCTCGCCCTCGATCGCGCGCGGCGATATCCGACGTGTTGCCGCCCAGGGACAATGTCACCGCGTTGTGGTTCTCGGCGTTGCCGCTTAGTCCGCGACCCCCAAGAGCGCGGCGCGGGCCTCGAGGTCGCGGATATTACCTGGGCGCTTCCAGCCCCCGGCTCGGGCGCGCCTCCATCGGCGAGGAGTGCCCCGCTCTGGGCCGCGAGCAAGCACCAACCCTGCGCCCTCTGCGATGTCGGCCCGCTGCGCCTCGCTCGGAATGACGGCGCCCTGCGAGGCGCGGGGCCGCTGGAGCTCCTGCTCCACCTCGCGGTCGGCCCAGGCGCTGAACGCCCCTCGTTCAAACTTCAGCTGTTGATGCCCGTCGGCCGGTGCGCCTGGTCCACAACTGCTCGTCGTTCAGGTCTTTGAGCCGCCAGCGATCGCGGTTAACGGCGGCCCCCCGCGCCTGCCGCGGGGTGACCGCGGTGGCGCTGGCTGCGCATGCGCGCGAACTCGAGTCGCCATCATAGAAGCGACCTCCAATGGGGCGACCGAGGTCCGAGACCGCGAGGGGCAGAGGCCCTCGGATGACCCCGACCTCGGCGAGCTCGCTGCCGTCGAAGTCTCTCCGCTCCCCGCGCCCGTCGCCGATGGCAGGGCGCAGGTGCTGCAGCGACGAGGGGAGCTCCCGCCGCGTCGAGAAGTGGTCCACGATGTGCCCGACGACCTGCCTGATGCACGCGGGGGTCGCGCCCCCGGTGAACTCGAGCTCGCGCGGGCCGCGCCGCGGCCGCCGCGCGCGCTGCGACCGCGGCGCGAAGGGCCATCTGGATCCCTTAATCCACCGCCCTGCCAGCTCGAGCTCCGCCGTCGCGTCGACGCCGTCGCAGGCCGCGAACCCCATGGCGCGCAGATCCTCGGTGGGCGCCTTGCGCAGCGTAGCGGCGGCTTCCAGCGAGCCCCCGATGGCGTTCCCGTCGTCGACGCGCGGCAAGCCCGCCGCAGGCCCAGCTCGGCCGCCAGCCAGCCATGCGTTCGACACCGCATCCCACGCGACGCATGGCACGGCGCCCGGCCTCCTCCAGCGCGCTGCGGCAAAAGGATAAAACCCGCGACCACCCCGTCGCAAGCCCGCCAAAGCAGGCCCAGATCTGGTCGCCGGGCTCGACGGCCCCCGTCTCGCCAGCGCCCTCGTTGAAGACGCTGGGGATGTCGAGCTCCTCCGCGCGTTGTCGACCCTATCCGAGCACCAATCAAGGTGCCATCGAGGGCAGCCCGCGCTGGTGGAACCCGTCCTCGAGGTCGACTCTAGCCCCAGAGATGCAGGCCCCTCCAGCGCCCTACTAGGCGCGCCACACGTGACTCGGGGGGGCGCCTAAGCCGGGCCGCGCCCTCGCCACGCAGCCCGAGCCGCTGGCCGCGAATAAGGTTGAGGCAGGTGAAAGCACCAGGAGCTACCAGACGGCACCTCGGCGGCCGCTTGTGGAGCTCGTTGACTGGTCGAGCGTCGAGGACCAGGCGGATCGAGTCCACGCCCTTCTTCTTGTCGAAGAACACCCCCGCGCGCCCCAGCCGCCACCTGCGGCATGCGATGAGCCCGACCGCGTCGAGGCGCCGAAGTCGCGCCTCCTGGTCCAGGCCGTCGAAGCGAGGGGCCCAAGCGCGGCTGGATCGGCTCGGCGACGGCGGCGGCGGGCGGCGGCGTCGAGCGCGATCGCGGTGTTGGGGTGGTCGAGGAAGTCCCGCGTGAAGTCGCCGACGAGCTGCCCGGCGTCTACCCGCCGAGCGTGGCCCTCCAACGCCTTGAGCTCGGACGGCGCGCGCCTCTCCGAAGTCCACGCGCCCTCCGCATCGTGGACAGACGAAGACCGATCGAATTCAGACAGAACGCCTCCATTGCAGGAGGAGTTCGGCATCGGCGGGTCGAAGAGCTCGACCGCCCCGGCACTGTTAGCGAGCACGGAGCGCTGGCAGTCCCACAACTCCCGCGGAGGAACGCGGGGGCAGGTCGCGGTGCTTGCAGCTGATCTGGCTCTCCGCGCCGATGCCGCTGCTGCGGGCCCAATAGCCGCGGGGCCCGCCCAGCTCCTCTCCCGGCGCCCTCGCGGCGCGAAGTAGCTGTTTCATCGCATAGGGCCCCTCGATCGAATGACCAGTCCGACTCCAGCTTCTCGGTGTCGATCCAAGACATCTCGCCCATCGCCGGGCGCATCCCGCGATGGTGGCAGCGGGTCGAATCACGCTCGACCGGTAAGATCCTGAGGTCTGGCCCGGGCCCCGTCTTCTTTCTCCACTTGCCCAGGTGCCCAGGGGCGAATTGCGCTCCGCGGCGGCCCAGGTGGCCCCCCCTTCCTCCTCGACCCGAACCAGCGCGGTGGCATCCCTCAACGCGAACGTGTTCGGGATGGCGACGACGGCCCCGTCGACCACCTCCCCGAACTCGATGCAGGGGGGGCCGGCGAACCTCCACTCCGCTGCCGACGCGGCGGCTCCTGGCCCTCCGACGGCGGCGCCGTGGATCATGGCCAGCACGCTGCGCTCCCTCTTGGTCTCCGCCAGCTCCTGGTCGGCGAGCGCGTTGGGGGCCGCCCTCGCCGGCGCGGGCTGGCCTCGCGTCCAGGGGGTCGCGTGGAGCTCCCGGAAGTTGATGATCTGCGCGCGCAGGTCTGGCGCGTCTGCAGCCCATCGGGCGCGCGCGATCCTGACCGCCAGCACTCGCCAGTTATACTCGAAGTTCGGGTCGTCTCGAAAGCGCGCGGTGGCCTGCGGCGCTGGGATGTCCAGCGCCGAAGCCAATTACGATCGCACCCTTGGCTGTCGATGCCTCCGCTCGGTCACGACAGGCGGCGCCTCCGCCGACGCCAAGCTGCTGGGGCACTGGCCCGAGTCGCTCGGGCGCCTCGAACGTCGCGACCCCGCCGCCAGGCGCCGAGCTCGAAGAGCTCGAGAGCTGCAGCATCAGCCCCACGCCAGCAGCGCGAGACTCACTCCGCTGGCCGCGCCCGAGCGAGGCGAACGCCGGGAAAACGCCGCCCGTCGGTGGGCATCGGCAGGTCACCCGACTTGGCCTTGCAAAGGTTCTGCCAACTGCGCCCCGGCCAGGCAGGTGCAACGGCAATGGAAGTCGGCGGGCATCGCCGGGCACGCGGGGCACGCCGCGCTCGGCGGGCACGTGGCCGCCGGAGCACACGCCGGGCATGCCGAGCACTCGACCGCCGGCGTGCAGCTGGGCAGGCCGGCCCTGGCGCCCAGAGGCTCGAGATCCAGGTCCCGAGCAGGTGCGAGAAGACAGCGCGCGCCAAGCCCAGGCCCGCCAGTATAGCACGCGCGGCTGCGTGCGCTCCAGGGGCGTGCGCGCGCCAGCTTTTGCCGAAAATGCGATGGAAGACACCGACTGCGAGATAACGCACCAACATGCATAGAATTGGCGGGCCATCTGATCTTCGTATGCAACGACAAAATGGATGCACATGAACCGCTGCGCTTTCTTCGCGCGTCGTCACGGCATTCTTCCTGAGTTCCGTGACGAAGCGCTAAACTGGCCGAGCTGGGATCAAACGACATAGTACGTAGTTGGTGTAATGGAAACTGTCGTCCCCTGGACCCGTGAATCGTACATCTCCTTGGGCTGAGATTTCTGCGCCCCTGCGCCTTGGCAGCTGCTCCCCTCCGCGCCTATGGCTTTGCCGCCTTGGGGGTTTCCGTCTGCGCCGATGTCCCTGCTGTCGTCTGCGTCGTGTCCTCCGCCTCCTTCTTGGCCCCTGCTGCCCCGCCTGATCGCCCGCCGCGTTCCGCGCCACGTGCATCCGCGCCCAGGCTTCCAGGCGACCTCCTCTTGGAACTGGGAAGCGTGTCTTTCGCCAAATATCGTCGAACTGGGCCTGAAGAGCCCGCGCCGGTGCTCCCCCGCGGTCACGCACAGCGGAGGAGGTGGAGGGGGCCGCCCGGTGGGAAGCCGTCCCCCACCCGCCCACGCCCGCAGAATCGGGCCCGGTGTGCCATTCCCTGCTGGTGCCGCCGTCGCCCGAGCTCTCAGACCGCGGCCTCGCCCTGGAAAGCTGTGGCTGCTGGGGCCCAAAGTGAAGGGGCCCCAGGACACACAAATAAATAAACACAAATAAAATAATTCCCCATATTTTCATATATTTTCTGGGTTTTTGTCTTCCCCCCCACTTCCCATATTTTCCCATATTTTCATAGGAATCGACGATTAATTGTGTCTGTGTGTTTCTTTCCCTCCTGACAAAGGCCCGCCCCGGGGTGGCCGCGAGGCCCTTGCCGGGCCAGGAAGCGCGCGGCGCCTGCCCTGACCTTCCAGAGTGCTAGAAAATAGCGCTCCAGGCCTATAGATCTATCTGGACAGCCTCAAACCTCGACAGGAATTAGAACGTCGACGTCCTGCCCCAAAAAATACCCAGAAAAGATGCCCAAAAATACCAAAACAATAATCCCCAGACCATTTTTTCGACTATTTGAGAATCTTCCCCCTGTAGAGGGGCAGGCCCGACGTAAGCCTTGCCAGGCCAGGAAGCGCGCGGTGCCTGGCAGACCCCGGGAGCACTGGGGGTGCCGGGCCCAGGGTGCGCCGCTGCGCCCGCGGGTCTCCGCCAGGCTTCCGCCGGCGCGGCCGCCCCCGTCGTGCACCCCCCGAGCTGGGCACTCTCTCGCAATAGGGCGGTAATGGTCCGTGGCGTGCCGACGCGGCGGCGAGCTTGCCGCGGGCGTGCACGATCGAGCGCCGCCCGTGGCCCAGAGAGCCAGGCGACCTGCCCGGCGGTGAGCGCAGGGACCCCAGGGAGGGAAGCGAGGAGGCGAAGGCCCTCTCAGAACGCGGCCGGACTCCTCAGAAGGTCTCCGACCTTCTGAGAGAGATTTCTGTGACTGTGTTCGGGGAAGGCTCAGCGGGGGACTTCC